CATATTTACGATACACTAGGTCTTAAGTAATTTCAAGTGTGTGTTTTTCAGTGGTAGTCTTGTATCACTACAACCACACTTAATGCTACGCATATACTGGTGTCACTTCCACAACTACATTCAAGGCACCCGCACTAGTATCATTTCTACAACTGCACCCAAGGCAACTACACGACAACTACGCCCAAATATTAGCTTTTAAGTAATTCCCATTGTTGTTTCTCCCAGCGGCATTGCTGTCCAGCAGGGTAGCGCCAGTGTGCAGCTGTACCTGGACAGCACAGGCTCCAGTCTGGACGTGTACGTGGACAGCACACAGGTTGCGCTGTCTGACATCGCCAGCGGAAGCAGCAGTCAGTTCAGCGATGGCGAGTTCCAGCTCATCACAGGTGCGCCCCCTGTACTTGCCTGTTGGTACTGCAGGCTGGTGATGCTTGCATCCAGTGATATGTTACTATAGTCCTTTATATCAACCATGGCTTCATGGCGCCCCCTATACTTGCCTATTGGTACTGCATGCTGATGATGCTGTACTGCATCACTTTCCTTCAATTTAACCACGAGTCTATCTTTGAGCTCATTAAGATAATCATGAGAGAGAGAGAGAGAGAGAGATGAAAAACCAGAGAAAATGGGAGAGAGAGAAATGGAGTGGTGAGAGAAGGAAGAAGAAATAGTACAGTGAGAAGCCTTGAAAGAGAAAGATATTAAACATGCACTATCCTGCAGAAAATGTATCCTTCGGCAATTCTTAAACATATCTTTAAGCATATCTTTCAAGATCTCTAGATGGCAGTGCAAGTACAAGTAAGTCAGAATCTTTAAGAAAACTTTTTTTCTCAGAATCTTCCAGCGGTACCGTGACCGGAGTGAAGGTCATCTTTACATCCGGGATCTCGGTGCAGGTCGACGCCGGCCTCAGCATGCTCACCTACGCATGCTCCATGACCCCTGACATGAAGGGTCACGTGCAAGGCATGCTGGGTAACTTCAACGACGACAAGGACGACGAATTCTATTGGCCGAACGGAACGGCGGTTGCCATTAGCAACCTGACGAACCCGGCTGAGGCGGAAACCTTCCCATGGGGACAGAGTTGTAAGTAGCTTTGGTTCACTTCGCCATTTGTTATGTTTACCTTCGCAGAAGGAAATATATTGTTTTTGCTCTGTTTTTTCTGCTTCTTCT